CCACATACCAGACCTCCCTCTCGGTGACTGTGTGGTGGAGTGTATCTGTGTATGTTTGCCGTGACGGACATGCATCGAGTGAACTGGCCTTTGCCTGACCGGCAGGCACCTTTCCTCGCGGCTGTCTCACTCATTTGTTCATGGCAGCGAAGTCACTCGAGGAGGCCAGACGGCCACTCACTCACATACCCCATCCGTGTGGTCCCCACGAGTGGTGTACTATATGTGGGTGGGGACTGGACAACCATGGTGGCCACACACCACACACATGACTGACGGAAAAAGAGGGCAGGCGCACACCACACCACACACCTACCTCGACCGGCCTGCATGAGACGACACACCACAAGTCACGTGATGCAGCGCCACAACTCAGTCAGTGGGTAACATCGATCGATGCGATACGGAGGAAAGCACTGCACACACCCACACTCACACCCACACCCACACACCACACAAACGATCAGGCTCGGTCAGCCAGCAAGACGGGCTGCCCTCTCCACCTCCCTCTTGGCTCTCCGTGTGAGTGGCATTGTCTTCTGCGGGTCGTAGGGCGTCAGGATGAAGTCCTCGTGCTTCCAGTCGATGATTGGCGTCCACTCCAGCGTATGCAGGGCCCACATACCCAACACCTGAATCATATATGAATGAATCAAGTGAGGAAAAAGACAGACAGACAGACAGACAACCAAAGAGAGAGAGAAACAAACCATTCGTGTGTAAAGACCTAGGTTAGTCGCTTTGAGGTGCGTACGTACGTACGTTGATGTGGGCAAAGGTGCCGAAAGACTGGTAGTATTCGAACGCTCCATGGCGGCAATGGCCATCGATCGACACCATCAAGCCGAAAGGCACCTCGTCGCTGCCTTCATCCACTCCTGCCAGCGCCGCCAAGGCCCGTCGGCTCAAGTAGGACACCACCGACGTCGTGTCGACGACGAAGACCACGTTGATGGGGGGCGGGGGTGAGGCCTCCCCCTCAAAAGGCCGTCGAACACACACGAGGTTGATGAACATGCGCCGGCAAGAGCCAGAGACGATGCCCTCTGGTGGGTAGCTGAGCTGCTGGCTGGAGGGCGCCTCCGACAGGTACTCGACGCCATACCGGCCCTTGGAAATGCCTTCAAGATCCGCTTCAGTCACGTCGGGCAGCGACAGCTCATGGTCGAACGGCTCAGCACCCGGGTCGGTGGGAATGAACAGAATCTCATCATCGGCCGCCTTGCCGCCGGAGTTGTGTTGTCCAGTCGTCTGCTGCTCAGCACTGCACCGGACGGTGGCGAAGAAGGCAGCTGCGGGAAAATGGCGGCTCGTCGGTGGGCGACAGTGGCGGGTGAGTGGCAAAGTGTGGCCGAGGGGGTGTGCTGTTTGGAGAATGAGGGGGGACAGTCGGGGACGATACATCTGACGGACACACAAACCAACGTGACAATGATGCTGCAGCGCATCGGAGGGCTAAACCCGTTCAGTTTCCTCACCTTCGTGAAGGCAGACCTTGGGAACTCTGCACCAAACAGTTGCGGTGCTCTCCGGCAGCCAAGCTTGAACATAGCGCTTCCCAGGCTGACCATCTCCCTTCGAGGCTCAAAGGCTCGCGCCGAGAAGCCTGAAACCCCTTGTCGCCTTCGCCTCTTCAGCACGACCTGCCAGGCACAGAAATGAGCCCAGCCCGAAGCTGCACTCATCACTCACGGAGAGGGAAAATGTCGTTTCTGTGGCTTGTGTGTGCCGCGTATGTGAGGTGTGGGGGTCTGCTGTGTGCTGAGAAGCGTACAGGGAAAGGATGGAACTTCTTACGAAAGATCTGCAAAGCTTGCCTAAAGCCATGATTCGTATGACTGGCTCTGTGTGTCAAACGAATGCATTCTCCTTCCTTCTCCCCAAGCGAATTCGTGAGATTCAACATGCCTGGCTGCCTGCCCCACTCACCCGCCCGCTCCATTCAGCCAGTCCCGACTGCACTTACGTACTCAGACAGCAGATATGCACACAGAGACTCTCTCGAGTACTCAAACAGACCTACACCACAAAGGCCCCAACCAAACAAAAAAAGGCAGACAGGCAAGTAGGATGAAGGAAGCCAGCCCAGCCCGCCAGGCAGGTAAGCTAGACAGAGCCCAGGTAGCTAGCTAACTATATCTCTCTGGAAGGGTACAAGCGAATGGGAGGAAGGGGCCGCTCCATAGCCTTGTGCAGCTCAGGCGTCTCGTTGAACAGCCCCGGATACCCGTCGTCCTCCTTCTTGTTCGGGCAGTTTAATCGGTCGACGATGTAGTTGATGATCGCCTGAGGGCCCTCCCCCTCGTTTGCGGTCAGGGCGATCCCCTCATATCGGATGGGCATCAGCTGGTCAGTCTCACTGTCCAAGTACATGGGAATCCAGATGTGGCCGCGCGCCGCATACATGCACTGCGCACACGATAGATACACACACGTGCGCATACGAATGAACACCGCCTGTTGATTCTTCCATCCATTCCGCGAGTGTGTGCGGTTGGTTCGTACCTGCATGATGCCTTCCTTGCGCATGAGCCACTTGAGGTCGTCGAGCGCCTTGTCGGAGGTATTTTCGCCAACCATCAGTGCGAACTGCGTCCCATCACTGTGTGCACACATTCACACATGTGTATGAATTCGTCTCACACACACACACGGCACCCATAGAGAATAGGTACTCACTCACCCACTCACCCTGTGGTCGGGAGTTTGCCGGTTCCGTCTTTCTGGATGATGTAGAGGAAGCAGTTGTCGTGCTTCTCGTCTGGGCCGTCCACACACCAGGCCTTCACACGCCAGTCCGTCTGACGGATCAACTCATACAGCTGATGGATGAATGGATGGATGGATGGACGCGTCATGCCGACACCAACAATCACACACACACGTGCGCGGAGCGTATACACAGATGCATATTATGTCTGTCTGTATGGTGCGTACCATCGGCCACAAGATGTGTCCGTTGGAGGTCTCTTGGCCTGAACGCCCCCCGCGCGGAAATCTGACCGAGATGTGGAGTAGTCACAGCCCACCAAACACATACCACCATTACAGACAACACATACAACACATGTGTAAAGTGCGTGAATGAAGACAGATGTTGTTATGCACCACCTGCCCGGTATGTGGTGTTGTCTGTCGCCGTTGATGGCAAACCCCAGAAACTCCAGCAACGTGTCAGGAAGGTCCACTCTCCCCAGGGGAGCCGACTCGACCTGCGTGACATTCATCCCAGGACATCAACATGACACTCGGTTGTGTGTGTGTGTGTGTGTCTGCTTGAAAGACAGACAGCTGCATGGTGCTGGCAACATGCATGATGCACGTGAGCATGTGATCACCTTGTCAGAGGGAGCAGGTATCTTTCCCGAGGACCGGTTCTTCACTGCGCTCATCCGCACGCGGCTTGTTGCCGATGGCGCCACTTGACCCAGGGGAGGGGACGAGACGAAGGCCGGTGGCGCGACAGCCGCACTCACCACGCACGCAACCAGTGCTAAAACGACGAAACGCGAGATCGCCTGCGCCATAGTGCACAGGAATTGGCTTTCACGCCCCCCACGGCGTCCTTTGGATCGGCTGAGCTGCCTCTCGGTATGCACCTGCCCTCGTGGATAATCATTCCCGTGTGGTGGATATTTTGGTTCATATTTTGCGCCAGTGGGCGCAACGAGGGTGAGCCGGAGACAAAGAAGGATGAAGGGTGTCCGGAGGTACTTTCTGCGTGTAGGCCTGTTTGCCCCGCGCCCACAGTACGATGCGTCCTCAGAGTCCTCCCGTAACATTCCTGCGCGAGGTCTCCAGACGGAGCCCGAGACAGAGAAGACAGGTCCTGTGCTTGCGAGGCTATCCCCGTCGACAGCGACAGATGAAGGCTATACCCCATATGTCGCTGTCGATGGGGCTCTCATAAGTGACGGTTTCCATGTTTTCGACTGGAGGATGACCGATACAAGGCAGTCATCGTCTGCAGAACAGCCGGTTGAATTACACGAGTTCGCACAGCTCCAGCCGCCGTTCAACCTCTCCATCACCCCATACTGTGTGTCAGTGATGAATCGGACAGTTGTCGTCGCTGGAAAAGGTGGCTCCGTTCAACAACCAAGGAAGTGGCTCTTCGTATTCTTGAACATACCTTCCCTTCCTTCCAAGCCCGAGAGCCCCCTCGTGCTCAACCCAGATATTACTATTGAAGAGCCGAGAGGGGTCTTTCAGAGTTTTGGGCGGACCACGGTGGTTGATGATGTTTTTCACCGTATTGCAGCATCGGATGTTTTTCGTATTGGTTACGGCGGGGCAATCATTGGAGTCGGAGCAGGTGCCTTACAGACACGAAGGTGTTATTAGTTCCGTGCTCATTTCTTTTACTGTTTTCAGTTTACGTGTTCGGATATGACCCCATCGCGAAGACAAGTAGAAGAATCGCTCGATTGCGACTTCGAGATCGACTGCGAGATGGATATTTGGGGATTGGCCTGGCCCTCGAAGGAGACATCGTCCTCGTGGCAGGGACGGATGCCGATTGGTCCGATAAAGAGCTATATGTCTTCAGCGTATCCGACGTGTCAGCCAATGAAATTAACTTTGTCGACGTCTTCGAGATTGCAAGATTGAGGCTGCCTACGGACGACGCCAAAATCGAGGCCGTTGCTCTCAAAGGCACAATCGCTGCAGTGGGCATCAACTATGGCCGCCAGGCTCTCTCATGTGTTCTGCTGTACGATTTGGGTGAAGTGGTGCGGACCAATAGCGCTGCTGTCGACTTGAGTCATCCCTTCGCTAAGCTGAGTCCTTCAGATGGACCCAGTGGAGAAATCAGATTGGCGTTCGACGGAAAGTATGTCCTCGTTGTTGTTGGCGACGATTACCAGCGATACGCTTACGTATTTCGAGTGGAAAGTCCGAAGAACGGCGTCATACAGGAAGCGAAAGAACTCTGGAGGCTCCCAGTACCGTTCATACCCTTTGGGTCCGATGTGGCAGTGAGTCACCTCGATAATGCAAGCGGAGAGGAGGCGGTGGTGGCAATTAGTCGATTGCAACAGGCTGGCTGGGAAGCGAGGCACTGGGTCTGGTTGCTGGGGAACTGGCCTATCCCTCCTCCTACTGAAGGTACGCCTAGTCCAAGTACCCTAGTCCAAGTGTTCGACTCATGTTTCTCATATGCAGACGTCACCTGTGCCTCCCCTCCCCAAGTGCCAGATGCTTCAAGTGTTTGTCCGTTGGCGAGGTCCACTTCTAGCCCAGGATGTCGAGTGATTTGCAAGGAGGGGTTTCAGGTGGTCCGCAACGACCTTCTATGCACCACACGAGGGAACTTCACTGGCTGTCCAGAGTGCCAAGGTGCAGCAAGAAAAAACACCTGAGAGAATCAGCATGAAAGGCTTCAGTAGTTCTCGTGGTTGGCCTTGTCTCTCATACAGACATTGACGAGTGTGCAACCGAAAATGGAGGATGTTCGCAAGTGTGCAATAACACTGTAGGATCTCACGTGTGCTCCTGTTATGACGGATATCGAATTTCGATCTCTGACAAATTGTGCTGGGGTATGTGACAAAAAGGATCTGACAAGAACAAAGTTCGCTTTTTCAGATATCGACGAGTGTGCGGAGGGAACTGCAGCCTGCAACAAAAATGCCACATGCAAGAATACGGCCGGTGGCTATGAGTGTATATGTCAGGATGGCTTTGAACCTGACGGAGAGGACTGCAAAGGTAAGAGAATAAATCAAATGTATGCAACTGTTTGATGTCACATATTGCTTTGGTCCAGACATCGACGAGTGCGAGACCAACAATGGTGGATGCGAACACACTTGCAACAACACAGTCGGCAGCTTTGAGTGCTCGTGTGATGAGGGCTACCAGCTCTTCAACGATAGCAAGTGCTCAACGCCAGAGCTATATCAGATCTACGAAGCCCTACAGGAAACAAGCTGGACGCTGCGCTGGTTCAATTCGTCAATTCCGTTGCCGGTCCTGAGGATGAAGAGGCCTCACGGAGCATTTTGTCCGACTCCAATAGCGCCAGCGGCAGATGCGGACGCCGATAATCCTATTCATATCTATGGGCATTTTCATGAGTGTCATCATCACTCCATCTGCTGGGGCGCTGACTGCTATGAGTGGGACGAGTGTTCCGCGCAAGATGTGGAGCTGACAGTCGGCCATACGGCGTTCGGGACAGCCAATGGCAAAGCCGTGCTTGTTGTCTACGACGGCAGCGAGATTTGTTTCTCGGTGAATGCAGACGACAGCGGTACTCTCGGGTGCGACTATGCATGTCTCTCTCCGAACCCCTCTGGAGCTTCTAGGAATGTCACATACAACAGAAGCGTGTCGACAAAATGGCCTGGCTTGTCCGTTAAGGACAAGAGCTTAATGCTTGTGGCTTATCCATCAACCACAAGTAGAATCTTGGACTCTTCGTTGACGTGATGTCTCCTGTTCTCTTGCATGTAGACGCCAGCACCACTCTGGATGTGGTGCAGAGAGGGGACCCTGCCTTTCGCGTAGACGCACCAACCACGCTGATACCTTCATCAGGTAGCCAAGCTTGGGTTGTTCGAATGAAATAAGTGCCTCCTTGCGCACAATACAGATTTCGACTGCATCTCCTCTCCCTGGAGAGGCTTCGGCGTTGTTAATAAAGAAATGCCATATCACACGGAGGGCCCTGTTCAGTTCTGGTATCCAGCCCGGCAGCCTCGTCTACCTCCTCCGGTGGGAAAGCGATGGAAGATACTGGCAAAGTATGAGCTCCTGCAAGCGTCGGCCTTCTTCCGCGCGGAGCACGAGCTTGCGAGTATGCCTCATCTCGGCCCTGGCACTGAAGCCTGGCTGATTGGTGCCAACGTTTTGCCGCTCGACCGCCTTACTGAGCTTTCTGAATCTGATTGCCAAGTGTGCCGGAGAGACGCCCAAGCTCTGAAGAACTTCGCCATTCAGCTAGGACTCTGGAAATATGAGGACCCAGCTGTGAGGGAAGCCCAGGTAGAGACTGGTATCTGTGCAGCGTCTTTTGTCATATGTGTCCGCCACGACGACGACGAGTCAGAGGACGGCTATGTGGTGTTTCTCAATGGTGGGCTTCATGAAGCGAATCGGTCTCACGTTCCTGCCTGGAAAGCGTCAGTAACTGACAACACGCGGATGCCTTCCCTGCACCACCTTCAAGGCATGTTGGGGCTCGTGCTTGCTGACGTACCAATCAAAGTACATCTCAGTGACGAAGGACTCCAGAATCTGACCTCACTGCGTCTCTTGGTTATCGACAGGGTAAGCAGGTTATCTGACCTCACTGCCTCTCTTCGGGAGGGCCTTTGGCCGATATCTATCTCCCACTTTCTGTCCGTTTTAGATCGTTTCCTCATCAATCAGCAACCTCCCTCGCTCAATCGGCAATCTGACCCGTCTGCGCGCGCTATACCTTGACCCTGGCTCTGCATATTTTCGTGGCTCCATCCCCTACGAGCTCTTCCAACTTCCTGCCCTGGAGCACCTTTGATCATTATTCGGAGTAACCTCAAGTTTCCCGCATGTCTTTTTTCGAATTCTTCGGCATGCTTTGGGGGGCTCGATGCACTCAAAACCCTTTGGCTAGAGCCCGCTTCGACCTTGCTGCAAGATGCGCGAGAAGAAGTGCAACAGAACCCTTTGCTCGTCACAACGAGCATACTATCATGCCAGAACTTACAAACCTTCGGGATGATTGAGAGTAGTGACCCTTATGAGCCCCGTCACATTCTCTGGCAGCCCTGCCACATTCTGCCGGAACAAATAGGCTCGCTTGAGAAGCTGAAGTTCCTAGTCCTGCATCGAGCATGGCTCAGTGGCTCCGTTCCTCACTCCACAGGTAGCCTCCAGAAGCTTCGGGTTCTTGATTTAAGCGGTAAAGTGATTTGCAATAGGATTGCTTCGTCTTCGTATTTGAAGCGTCATGTGTGTGCTTCGAATAGGCGCCCACCTGACAGGGACAGTGACCATGGGAGTCTGCATGCCTTACCTCACTCACCTCCACTTGCACCAGAACAATGTGAGCAGTCAAGCACTTTTGATGTCCCAACATGTTTTGATATCACATTATCCCGCTGGATGGGTTCGTAGCCGAAACCTTAGAGAATGTGACTGCTTTGCGGTCACTGATGATTGGAAATGCGACAAGGAGCCCTGGCGTGATCAACTTAGACTTGGCTGATCGGGCTCTCGGCAAGCTGATGAAGCTTCGAGAACTGGACCTATCTCACTTGGGCATGTCATGGCCCTTACCAAGCAGCCTTTCGAAGTTGGGCAACCTCGAGTTTTTGAATTTGGAGAAAAATGCCTTCCGCGGCAACCTTTCCTCTTTGTCAAGTCTTCGGCGGCTTCAATACCTTGACATTTCTTACTCACAAGTGAGAACTGATCGTGTGAGCTTTCTTTCTTTACAAGAAACGGCGGCCTCAGGATTGAATGATCACTATCTGTCTCAGTTTGAGGGTCAGGTTCCTGAGGCCTTCACCACCTTTGATCACCTGACGTGGCTGTATGCAAGAAACACAAAGTACGATTTGCTGGATGTGAGAAACACCGTGACCCGGGGAGACTCTCTCATCCATGGTGCAGCCTCCGCGGTTTACCATCTCATTTCCCCTGGAGACGGCTTAGAGTCATGGACATTAGTCACTCGAATCTGAGCGGGATTCTGCCGTCCTTCGATCGTTTAACTTCACTGACCCACCTGCGGCTCGAAGATAACAAAATCACGGGCTTTAGAGGAGCCATGCCGAAGAGGTGAGGTGCGTGACGGGATTCTCAGCGGGGTTCCTCAGCACACCTCTTTTTTCTGCGGCCTGCGGGTGTTGGATGTGTCAAATAACATGATCGACAAGATTCCTTGGAGCTGGCACCGACTTGAACCGGTAGAAATTCTCAACATCAGCAAAAACGCCGTCATAAACTGGACAGAGTGGGGCATGACACCCGATTCGGGACGGATCTGTGACGACGTACCCTTCGGTGAGCCACAAAGTCCCCAGAACCAATAAGTCCTGATGAGCAATTTGGGGTTGTATTCGACTTCTGCACAGACGATTCCTACATTGTCGGCGAGCTAGCCCGTTACGAAGAAGTTCCGCCTTTTTGGCCAAAGTTGCGAGAGCTCGATGCGTCAATGATGTCAGCCAAGGCGTCATTGAGCTCCCGACCACTGTGGCCTTATGTGAGTCATTTCCTTCACTCATTGAAGACTCTGCCAAAGTTAGAACACTTTGATGTTTCAATGGGCGGTTGATTTGCTTGTTATGGCATGTCGTCACTTGCAGTTTAGTCTCTCTTACGTGTGCAAACTGTGGGCTGTGGGGATCCCTAGATTGTGGGGCCTTTGTCATCTACGACTTCGACAAAATAATGGCTCGTGCCACCCTCATCCGCAACGAGATACCTTTCAATCTCAATGTGAGAGTACGTAGGTATGATCGCAGAAATGGCTGCGAAAAATTCTGTGCTTGTGCCTTTAGGAGAGAGCAGGCCCTTACGCTGCGGAGTTGACATCACGCCTTCGCGAATTGTCAAGCATTACGGTAAGAATAGTGACTCACACCGCAGAGATTACACCGTTTAATGCAGACCGTAGAGCGGAGCCGAGGTTTTACTGCGCTTCGCTTTCTTAGCCTCTCGCACAATTCCATATTTGGGATTGGCAGTTATTACGGCCCTGCAGTCCCTCCACCGTCTCTTCAGTCAGCTAATTTTTTCAACAGCGGCCTGAGTATAGTGTTAAGCGTTGAGGACAAAGGAGAGAATGCACTTATGAATTGTCCCGATAAGCCTACAGCTGAGGCGAAGCTTACTTGGTGGACTTTACCATCAGTTGACTTCCGGCGAAATGCGCTGACCCTTGGGTCCTTAATTGGGACCCCAGTGTTTGACGCTGAGGGCAATCGAATTAAGAATCCGGTGGGTGCAGATACTAGAAAACGCATCTGCTGCATGCACTCACATTCCTGGCATCGTTGGTTGCAGGATTGTCGTGACGCTCTTGACTACAGCGCGAGAGAAAGGTCCAAGCCTGTCCTCGTTCCAAATCCCAGCGAATCTAGTACCATCCCTTTTTATCCACTGAAATTCGCGTCTCTCTCTCTCTCTCTCAATAATTGCTCTCTCTCTCTCTGCCTGCCTGCCTGCGTGCCTGCGTGCGTGCGTGCGTGTGTGTGTGTGTGTGTCTGTTTGTGAGAAAGATTATTGCGCCCCGACGAGCTGCAGCTACGAATGCTCAACGGACAAGAACTGTGTGCCGCTAGGCAACTTCAGCTGCACCACGCTGTGTACGACGATTCACGTCGTTCAGGTCGATAATTGCATAACGCCTAGTTTCCTTTATTTCTTTTTCCGTTGCGTTCAGGTGGACTGGCAAAGTGACAGCGAAAGACTATGCCGCTGTTTGCCGGGATTCGAAATACGAAGAGATACAAATGTGGAGCCGCCTTGCGAAGAATGCCCTGTTTGCGAGAGGTGCCCTCCACAGAAGCATTCCAATTACTCTGTGGGCACCGAGAAGTGCATTCTTTGTGGACAGGGGGCACGTGAGCAACCAATGAGTCTATTGAGATGGAAACAAAAAAAGAACGATTCGCTTTGTTGCTGTTTGCAGAAGCAAATTCTGACCAGACCGAATGTGAATGCAAGGCTGGTTATTTCCCGAACGAAAGGGACGCCAGCAAATGCAATCCATGCCGTAAAGGTGCCAAGACAGCATTCTCTCACGATGCAGCATTCCTTCTTGATTCTGCTCTTCTGCAGGCGAATATGGAGGCGGAGGGTCCAAGCAGTGTGAGAAGTGCGGAGAGCAGTTTAGTTCGCCGGAAAACGCCACGTCTCAGGAGGAATGTTACTGCAACGAGAAGTACATCAAGTAAATACGGACGCCAGCGGGGATGCAGGACAGCTTTTTGACCCTTTTAATTAGCGTCTTTGGGCGTGGTGTTTGCAGGAGGCGGCCCAAAGACAACCAGAGGAGCCCCACTTGTGAGCCGTGCGATGTCATCCCTGGCCTGGATTGCTCGAGTCCTGTGAGGCATCCTGCCGATGTGAAAGTCGACAAGGGCTATTACCTGTACAGGGAAGGACGAGAGAGTGCAACACATCTGGCGGCCCGACACGGCGAAGCGGAAGAAACCAGCAGGTCAAGTCTCTCATTGATTCACTTGAGAGCAGCAGATGGTATTCAAAACCGCCGGTGCCTGCAAAAACGACGACTGCATAATCGACGGGATTCGAATGGTTGGCAGAGGAATTGGTCCAGCCACATAGCGCTTTATTTGATGGTTGATGGCCTTATGTGCCTTCAGGCCTGCACCGAGGATGCCGACGGAAGGAAGGAGTGGAACACGTAGGAAGTGGAACACGAGGTAGAGGCTATGCTGCAACCTTGTCTTGAGCTCAGATACGAAGCTGGCAAAACTGAGTTACCTGCAGTCGTCAAATGCCTCTTTGAGGATGCAAGTTTACACACACACCTGACTCACACACAGACGGCACACCAACTCGAACTGCAAGTTGAACTGCATCCTTTTGCCTGAATATGGCTGTCGTCTCAGAGTGGGTATCGAGACGGCAGCTTTATGTGTGGAGTGTGTGATAAAGGATGGACACGATCAAGTGCCAGCAGCCCCTGCACGAAATGCTTGCCGCTAGCAGCAAGCGCCAGCGCCGAAGTACTCTTGATAGGCTTCAGTATCGGCATGATTTTCCTGACTACATATCTATCCCAGCGGTAATACACAAGAACACAACGAAACGTCTTTGATTCGTTCCTTCTGTGAACGCCCTCTACAGGCCCACAGAAGGTCGCCCTGTACACTCTATGCTTGTGAAGATCGGCTTTACACATTTCACAGCGGTGAGCATCTTGTATGACACATTAAGTATCGTGAGTACTTGGTGGCTGCAGACGAGTTGCTTGGGAGTTCTCGCCTTTTCGAAGAGCCAAGACCAACTGGTGAAAAAGACGTGGTCAACCATCCAAGGGTTGTTTGACACGGTCGACGGCGGTCTGCCGGGTGAGCAAAGAGAGACAAGAGGCCTAGATATGTATAATGACAGGATCCCCTGTGCTTGTCTGCATCATGATTTACATGTTTTTCATGTCAGCCGCCCGCTGGGGCTGCGTCATTGAGCCCACTTTTCACGGTATGTCCGGCGCCTTCATGTCTGTCTCATGGATAGTGCAACCCCTTATTTGGTTTTTCCTAGTCACTCTCACAGGTGCGCTGAGTGGCCAAAGGCTCGTGCACTAAGTGCACATACAGACGTTTTCTTATTATGGCATGCAGCCTTGTTCGGCGTTCTCTTGACTCAAAGAGGCATTCGTCGGCAGGAAATTACGAAATCCGACGTCGTACGTGCGACATCGGCTTTTCTGGGTGGGCTTGGTATGTATCTGATCGATTGGGTCTTCACTGATGCCTTGGGTGGTGTCGAGGTACTGCCGGGAGAGATGTGGAAATTGTTCTTCCTTGGTTTGCCCTGGGTTCTCTCGTTGCAGAAGTGTCAATCACAAATGTTCTTTTCTGTCCTTTTCTGTCATTCAGGGGTGGCCCTGATTTGTCTCGTCCTAGCTTCCGTCATATTCCTTGCAGCTGTGGTAGCAGGTGTCGTTGAAATCGCTGTGAAGACGGTGGCCAGCGAATGCAAGAAGCGCCTAGCTTCAACGGCACACCCCCGTCCAGATGACAAGACAGCGTCGGACCTTTCGCCTGGAGCTACAGCTGAAAGAGGATCGCCCGCTGAAGAAGAAGAAGAAGAAGAAGAAGAAGCTTCTTCGAGTCAGGACCAGTCCCCGGTCAAGGTGTGTACGTACAGAGAATACGCTCTTGCAGGTGTCTTTGTGTGTATCTTCCAGGCGGCAGATGACCCCCTCGTGTTTTTCGGCATGTTCCATCGACCGAGGTTGCGCTGGAGCAAGATTCCAGTCAGCTGGACCTCAGACTCGTGGAAGGCATTCATCAGCGACTCCATCCCGCTCTGGATTATTTGCCTCACTTTTCTCCACCGAAGTAAGCTGAATAGCTGAAGATATTCCACGTTTTAATGTGCTGATAATTTCGTCAGCGGCAACCAAGAGCCTGCTGCAACTTCTACAATGCCACTACTTCAATCCACATGGGCTTCCCTACCCGAGTGCATATCGGTGGCTGCCTTACCCGGACTACTTCTGTGCCGAGCCTCGTCATCTACCGTGGTAGGTGGTTTCGTCGCGATGAGACGAGCTGTAACTTAACAAGTCCTGACACTCCTCGTATGCAGGTTTGTCATCGGCATTTGCGGTTTCCTGCTTTGGTGGATTGCACCAATTATTGCGGCTGTCATATTCCTCTGTCAACGTCGCGGCCGACTGAGCGAACCGCACATGAGGAGTCGCTACGGCTTCCTCTACCAAGGTGCGTCGCTAAATGATAGCTTCCCCAACGATAGGCTGGGTGTGCTGCAGGGTATAGGCGACGATACTTCTTCTGGGACTCGATATTCGCAGTGCGTCGTATCGCAGTGATAGCGACAGCACAGCTGGCCATCGGTCACACGGAATTCCAGCTGCGGACTTGGGGAGTCCTGGCACTCCTCTTCCTCATCCTCCAGCTATACTGTCAACCATTCGACTTCAGAAGGCTGGTATGCATCCACTCTAGGTGTGAAGCACCAAACAGTATCTTGCCTTTCAGAATATTCTCAATCGTGTGGAGTCTCTGGGTCTGGCGACTTGGATGACCTCCGTCCTCCTTGTCCATTTCGTCTTCCTTGGCAGAGACGAACAAGGGCTGCCCGAAGACGGAAAAGGGATGTGGCGGTCCGTACTGCGCATGCTCGTCCTCTCAGCTGTGCTCATCTTCAATGTTCTCTTCTTCCTTTGGCTACTCCTTCTCTTGATCGACAACTTTATCGATGAGCTTGCGACAAGTCGAAAGGGCCCCATCGCCGCGTTCGCGAGGAAGCAGAAGGAGACACGAAAGCTGAAGGAGAAGCTTCGTTTCGCCCTCAGTACCGAGGACTCAACACTTCACATCGTCAAGAAACCAAGGAGCATCGGCATGCCCCATCCGGAACAACTGAGATGTCTCAGCTTTATTCTTGCCGCACAAGGTGCAGCGAACGAATCGATTGCTTCTTTCCCTTTTTCATTCTTCCTTTACACTGTCTTAGAGGAGACAATGGAGAAGGTGCAGCTCCTTCAGGAGCAGATCCCATGGGACCTCACAGGACTTCTCTTGGATGCCGCCTTCAGATGGCATCAGGAAAGTGCACTTAGCAGACGATGTCGCTGAGAAGACTACTGTGACTTCTGTGTGCATATGTGAGTGCAGGAGAAGGCAGCAGCTGCTGAGGCAGCAGCTGCTGAGGCAGCAGACACTATACAGAGTCCCGCTACCAACGGAGAGGGTGCAAGAGACGAGACAGAAAGCAACTGGACAATGACAGACTCCGCAAACGACGGCCTTACTCTGGAAGAGCTTCAAGTATGAAAGCCAATGATGCTCTCTGTGTATAACACTCTGTATTGCCATTACCTACAGGCTGCTCTAACAGGCGCCATCGACAGCTATATCCACGACGAAGAAAGATTCCGGGAGGAACAGAAGGCATACCGCGACAAACAGGCCAAAGGAATCGACAAAAGTCACCAAGAGTGATTGAGAGTCTTCTATGCTGTACTTAATGCTTTTGGTGGCCTTGGCTTCCTTCTTGTGTTTTGTTCGCTTTGATGGTCTAGCCGACAAGCACCTTGTACTTGTTTCGATAGGAAGTTGTGTCAAATTTTGCCCTCAAACCACGCTCTACGGCGTTGCACGATGGCTCCCGAACTATTTTATTGCGGACGCTCGAGTTTCCTCTCTCTGGGTTTCACCGGTCCTCATTTCCGGAGTGGTCAAGGCAGACTCGAATGGATTCGCGATATGGATATAGCGCTTACTCGATGCTCTACTGACGCTTATCGATGGGAGACCCTCACGATTCAATAACAGGCACGCGCACAGGAATAAGGTCTCACACAAAGCACTACACCACACCTGCTGACGACGGCAGGCTTAGACACTACTGAGACACAAAGCACGTCGTGGTTTGACTTCCCTCTTTGGAAGCAACACAAACCACGCCTATTCCAAAGCAACACATCACAGATACATCCATTTTGTGGCACCACCTTCCAAGTACCACCTTCCAAATGGAAGGTGGTGTGCTTGTGTATCGTAGATGTATGCTGTCGAGGGCGGATAGAGGCGGAAACAAGTCCTGAAGTGTTTGGAAGTCTCTGAGGCCTCTTTTGTCCCTCTCCAGCAGCTGTCTGCGCGCAGGGACATACGAGAGACAGGGGAAAGAGAGAGAGAGACAAGGCAGCGCGACCGATAGAGACAGGTGTGTGTGTATGTGTGTGTGTATGAGGGAGGATGGATGGATGGATGGATGGATAGAGAGACACAAATCGTGCATTCAATCAACTGACGTGTCCCCAGAGAGAATTCGTGAGATTCAACATGCCTGGCTGCCTGCCTGCCCCACTCACCCGCCCGCTCCATTCAGCCAGTCCCGACTGCACTTACGTACTCAGACAGCATATATGCACACAGAGACTCTCTCGACTACTCAAAAAGACCTACACCACGAAGGCACCAACCAAAGCAAAAAAGGCAGACAGGCAAGTACGATGAAGGAAGCCAGCCCAGCCCAGGCCGCCAGGCAGCTCAGCTAGACAGAGCCCAGGTAGCTAGCTAAATATTATCTCTCGGAGGGTACAAGCGAATGGGAGGAAGGGGCCGTTCCATAGCCTTGTGCAGCTCAGGCGTCTCGTGAAACAGCCCGGGGTACCCGTCGTCCTCCTTCTTGTTCGGGCAATTTAATCGATCGACGATGTAGTTGATGATCGCCTGAGGGCCCTCCCCCTCGTTTGCGGTCAGGGCGATGCCCTCATATCGGGTGGGCATCAGCTGGTCACTCTCACTGTCCAAGTACATGGGAATCCAGATGTTGCCGCGCGCCGCATACATGCACTGCGCACACGATAGATACACACACGTGCGCATACGAATGAACACCGCTTGTTGATTCTTCCATCCATTCCGCGAGCGTGTGCGTGGCGGTCGGTTCGTACTTGCATGATGCTTTCCTTGCGCATGAGCCACTTGAGGTCGTCGAGCGCCTTGTCGGAGGTATTTTCGCCAACCATCAGTGCGAACTGCGTGCCATCACTGTGTGCGCACATTCACACACATGTGTATGAATTCGTCTTACACACACACAGCACCCATAGAGAATAGGTACTCACTCACCCACCCACCCTGTGGTCGGGAGTTTGCTTGTGCGGTCACGGCAAATGGCAGCTTCTTGGGTGGGCGAGGGCCAGGGATGAGTGAGTCAATTGCAGCCAGAGAGCTGTGGTGTTTGTGGCAGGGGCTGGTGAGTTTGTCAAGGAAGCTGGCTTTCTGTGTACATATGTCCAGCTTCTTGTCGGCAAATGGCAGCTTCTTGGGTGGGCGTGAGCAGCGATGATGCATCAGTCAATTGCGGCGAGTGGCTGTCTTGTTCCAGCCGATGATCCCTCCGGCGGCCTCGTTCCGTCGGACGAGAGGGCAGGCGGGGTAAGAGCGGCGTGGCGATTGACAAACCGTCGCTAGTCAGACTCTTTCGAAATGTGTAGATTGGGACAGGGGAAGATGCGGCAAAGGGCGGGAGGGAACAGACAAAGGCAGAGAAGAAGACTGTGGCTGAGAGTTGGATCAGTTGATGACTAGAGCGAGATGTGTCGTCATTTTGTTGCGATGCACTGCTCGTCAATCAAGCAGCGACCTTCACTTACCTCGTAAATTTCACGACTCGAGCCCCCACAGGCCCCCGAAGACGCACCTCCGCACGCCGAATATGCTGTGCTACATCGCCTCCTTCGCCTTTCTCGGACTCGCGACGTAAGCCACACAGCCATCACAGATGGCTGTGTGTCATGTGTGATGATCCCCTGGTGATGGCGGCGCAGCGTGGCACTTAGCGTGCAGTCCAAGGTGGGACCGATCCCTGTACACGACCGTTTCCAGAACCTCTACAAAACGCTTACAGGATCAACATTCACGTCTTCAGTGGTGTGCACACAGCACAACAGACTCAGGATGGCCGCACATGTACCATGTGCCTTGTCCTCTCTTTCGCGTTTTAGTTCGGATGCGACTTCGATAACCTAGGCATGCTCACTACGGGCAATGAGTGCCAAGACGCTAGGGCAGGTTGCTGTCCCACTTTCACTCAACTCAAGGCTGCGCTGAATGGTAGAAACATGCTTAGATAGCTACCGAAAAAGTCCGGCTGGCTTTGCTTGTACTGTAGTGCTTTGCTTGCCATATCTACAGCTAAACCGTGTAATTATAGCGACCTTCTCCAGAACGCAAGCAAAGTGGCCATGCTAGCCAACAATGCCGATCTGCAGACCGCCTGTACCAACGGCTGCCTCAAAAACGCCAAGACGGCACTCGAGAGTTGACTCAATACGGCGGGTCTCAAGGGCAGGGGATGTGTGGCTGTACAGACAGCGCTGCGCACTATCGAGAACATCTGCGCCATGGAGGTAACGAAGCATAAGATAGAAAATAGGAGGAGATTGAGAGTCTTAGTGTTCTCGCATGCAGAATATCGATACGTACTGTTTTGAGTACTTCAGCAACCACCTTGACATCTACGAGGCGGCCATCCAGGACCACGGTACCTCACTCGTACACAAAAAGCCACCCCCCCTCTCCCCCTCCCCTCAATATACACACCGAGACACCGAAGAGAGACGCAGAGCAGAGCAGTTTCTTTCTCTCTTTCTTTTTTCCCTGTCATTCGTCAGGTAAGTTGTCTGATGATGATATGCCTTGGGACGTGTGCGCGGAGCGATGCTTCCTAGCGAACGCCGCCGTATTCATCACTTCTCTGGGCGACACAACGGCCGGAAAGGTCGCTCGCAAGCAAGCCGGGGACTACTTCAAGATGATCTGCTCTAAGGTTATTCCCTCAAGTCACACACACAGACCAGCACAGAGGGGTGCACACAGAATGACGCACGTCTGCATAGATATAGGCGCACATTTGCTTGCTTGCTTGCTTGATGGCAGTTAGTGAAGCTGCTCCCTGACCAAGCTGATCAGTGCACTGAGACTACCGCGCAGGCCGCCACTGAGCCAGCCTCTTCTCTGCGCGAGCTTGAGGAGACCGTCGCCTGGACTCAAATCGGCGCCGACATCGATGGCGAAGAGGGTGACCTTTCGGGGTGGTCGGTGGCCATGTCCAGTGATGGCTCTCGTTTGGCCATCGGTGCTCGCTATGCGAGCAACAGCGGTCATGTTCGCGTGTTTGACCTCATTGGATCCACCTGGACTCAAGTCGGCGCCGACATCGATGGCGAAGCGGCCGGTGACGAATCGGGGACAGCAGTGGCCATGTCCAGTGATGGCTCTCGTTTGGCCATCGGTGCTTACTGGAATGATGGCGGCGGTGATGCCAACGGTCATGTTCGCGTGTTTGACCTCATTGGATCCAGTTGGACTCAAGTCGGCGCTGACATCGATGGCGAAGCGGTCTGGGACAGTTCGGGACATTCAGTGGCCATGTCCAGTGATGGCTCTCGTTTGGCCATCGGTGCTGTTGAGAATGATGGCGGTGGTTCTCGTAGCGGTCATGTTCGCGTGTTTGACCTCATTGGATCCATCTGGACTCAAGTCGGCGCCGAGGCGAAGCGGCCGGTGACCAATCGGGGAGAGCAGTGGCTATCTCAAGTGATGGTTCTCGTTTGGCCATCGGTGCCTGCGGGACATGTGGTGGTTCCAAAAGAGGTCATGTTCGCGTGTTTGACCTCATTGGATCCACCTGGACTCAAGTCGGCGCCGACATCGATGGCGAAGCGGCCGCTGACGATTCGGGGTGGTCGGTGGCCATGTCCAGTGATGGCTCTCGTTTGGCCATCGGTGCTCCTCGGAATGATGGCGTAACATATGCTTCTGGAAGCCGCGGTCATGTTCGCGTGTTTGACCTCGTTGGATCCACCTGGACTCAAGTCGGCTCCGACATCGATGGCGAAGCGCCCGGTGACAGCTCGGGATATTCAGTGGCCATGTCCAGTGATGGCTCTCGTTTGGCCATCGGTGCTTACTATAATGATGGCGGTGGTTCCAACAGCGGTCATGTTCGCGTGTTTGACCTCGTTGGATCCACTTGGACTCAAGTCGGCGCCGACATCGATGGCGAAGCGGCCAATGACCAATCGGGGACAGCAGTGGCCATGTCCAGTGATGGCGCTCGTTTGGCCATCGGTGCTCGCGGGAATGATGGCGGTGCCCCCCCTCCTCTCCCCCTCCCTCCAATGGACTATGGTTCCAACTGCGGTCATGTTCGTGTGTTTGACCTCGTTGGCTGCGGCGCCGCGTGTGTACCTGGGACAAATGAGGCTGGATTCAGAGCCCTGTTTGGCACCTCTGACTTTGTCCCCCCTTCGTGCACCTCTACAGTGACAGTGTCAAGCGGGGCTGATTCAGGAGCCGGCACACTCAGGGAGGCACTCGGCACTCTGGAAGCCCAAGATCCCGAGACAGAGACGACCATCCGATGCGTCCGCGTTTCGGCAGGGATCACCGAAATCAATCTGCTAAGCCCCCTCACCTTCAGAGGTGCTGAACGATACACGTGCGGTACACGAGGTGCTGGATGTTACGTTACGTGTAATACTAATTGCAGGTCGCAACACATATCTTTTTTCGGAAGACCTTGCCGATCCGGACTCGTTTCCCGTATTGAAATCACAACTCAAGGACACGGAGATCCTGACTGTTGATGGATCGGTCGGATTCACCGTAGCGGGTATTCGGTTTACGAATTATGAAGGCACGGCTGTGTCCGCTACGGGCAGCTCTTGTATTCACATAGAGAACCAGCAAGGCGTCGGCATGGCGAGCGTCGCATTCTACAGAGTGTCCATCGAGCAATGCAGCAACAGCAAGGATAATCAATTCGCAAGCGTGAGAATTGCAACCCCTGGAGACAACACAACATCGACCAATTTCAATGTCTCTTTCTGGGAATCGGCTATACACGGAACTGAAGGGTCAGCGATTACATGCGCTGCGAACTCACTTCAGCCTCCTTTCTACGATCTCGCCTTGAAGAACAGCCTTATCTACGGCAACTACATAGACGTTCATTGGGATCTTCATACAAATGACATCGATGATCGGAAGAACATCGTCACTCCTCTTATTGACCGCCAAATAGTCTCCCTTCGGACATGTCTGGTGATCACTCATGAGGCGACATTCGAAAACAATCAGTATACGGCAGGATGCTCTTGTTCTTACCCTACGCTCTACCCTGACGATCCATTTTACCGGTGCGAATGCATGCCAGACCGGGCAATCGATCTGATCGACATCCGACTGATCGACATTGGGCAAGAAGCAATTCTTCAACATTCGACCTTCAAGAGCGACATGCAGTCCGGACACCTTATTTTCGTCTCGGAAGCGCCACTGACGGTCGAGAGCTGCCACTTCACTGGCAACACCGGCTTCTCTAGTCGAGATCATGAGGAAAACTACTGGAGAAGTATTATCTGGGTCGACGCTGTGCCTCAGGGCTTCACCATTATTGATTCTCTTTTCGAAGCCAACCACAAGATGACGAACCTTGTCGGCGCGAGCACCGTTGAGTATCCTGGAGGACTTGTCTTCGGGTCGACTTCAGGGACCATCGAGCGGTCAACGTTTCGTCAAAATACAGGAATCAACTATCCAATCTCAATGACACTGTTCGCTCCAGGGACACACATTGAGATCGTGGACAATTGCTTTGTGGAGAACGATCTTGTGGAGCACACTCCTCCCTGCATGATGTGGGTCACCAAAAAGATACAAAGTGGTGCTGATTCGCTTACCATCACAAGGAACGGCGTGCTGATGAAAACGGGTCAAGAGTCCTATTGGCTACACAGTCCAGCTGACCTTGCGGACGAGAGCTACGCGACGATTGATGACAACTCAGAGACTCGAAGGTGTGCCAATGTATGCGGAGACGGTGTGGTCATGCCGGGAATCGAGACATGCGACGATATTGGCACAGTACACACTCCAGTGGCCCCACAGAGTGGCGATGGATGTGACGACATGTGCCAAGTTGAAGCTGGATGGGAGTGTGAGCAACAGACATCCTATTATGGACGAGGGCCTTCTGTCTGTACACGTGAGACACATGACGAAAAAAGGAAGCACACATACTGAAGTGTAAAGCAGTATGTATGTGTGTGTGTGTGTGTTTTTTTTTCTTCCCCCTCGTGTACAGCTCGCCCAATGATACCTTCCCTTAGCACCGGATCCAAGACATATGGCGGCAGCCCGTTCATTCTCACGATCGCCTTCTCTCAGCCTGCCAAGACCGAATCGCTGGCTGTCACCGATGTTCAAGTGTCGGGTAGTGCCGAAGTCTCGCTGACAAATCTGCAAGGCTTGTCGAACAAGGACTTCACCATCGACGTACAGCCAGTCAGTGACACACAAGGAGACGTGAGCTTTCAGATGAGGGAAGGTCGAGTGGAGCTGCTGAATGCTCCTGGACACTTCAATGAAGCGTCCCAAGTCTTGACCATTTCCATAGGCAAGACTGAGACACCTTTCCTTTGTCACAAGCAAGGTGTTCAGTTCCCTTTTTCTTCAGATACAAGCAAGCCAGAGCCCGTCCTACTAAGCAGTTTTGGTGACGGCGTCACGATGACAAATCCGTTCCTTGTAACGGTCAGCTTCCAAAAAGCTATCGACGTCGACACACTAGAAACCACCGACTTCGTCCTCACGGGACGCTCACACGTCCCTGTGAGCGCTTCGGTTGCCAGCATTCAAGAGAAGGGCTCAACAGGCCAGCACTTCGACATCAGTGTCTCGATTGCTGGGGAACAAGACGGGGACATACAGATTCAGCTACCTGCCGAGAAGATAGACGATACGCTTGGCAATCCTAATGTCGCGTCCAATATATTGATCGTCACTTATGGTGAGGCAGGACTCGTTTGTTGTTATTTATTGCATGTCTCCTCTTGTTCTTCCAGAGAAATCGTCCGGTCCGCCAGGGAAGGGAAGAGCAAAGCGTATGCGTATTTTCCTAACTCTCTGTGTTTCTCCAGGCGGGTCTCACACTACAGACAGCCCTAAGAATCCCCAAAATGAAGGACCTCCTGATCCGTCAGATGGCACCACGACGCCGCCCCTTCCACCAAATGTAATCCCCATTCCCCTTGACGAGGTAGATATTGTATCTGGTGGAGCGGATGGCGATCCGGCAGAAGGATGCCAAGCTTCTTACTATGGCACAGGAAGTATGAATTAATGAATGAATGCAGGAATGCCGGCAGATCATGTCTGCACAGTCTCCCCTTTTCTTGGTTGTCTTGTCAGGTGTAGAGGTGCGCGTGTCCTGTTCAGACTCAGAAAGCAGGAAGTTCATGACTCTAGCTGAGGGCAGCCCTATCGCTACTGTGGAAGGGTCGAGACACGACGATACTCTGCGCGGCAACAGCCAAAGCAACACCCTCATCGGTGTGTACACATGCCGTACGCGTATGGAGGCCCGCATCGTTTCCCTTTGAATTTAGGTGGTGACGGGGCAGACCTGCTGGATGGACGGGGCGGCGATGACCAGCTGATTGGCGGAAGAGGAGCAGACAGCTTTGTCATCGGCAGGGAGCCTGGCGAAGTGACAATCCTCGACTTTGACACTGGCAGTACGCACGATCGGCTCAATCTCGTCAGCTTTCCTTCCATCAAGAGCATGAAGGATATCCAGGAGAGAATGACCATTGGCAGCGTCATCATCAATCTCGACGAGAGCAACCGGGTGCGCATTCTCCATCGGACGCCGCAGGAGATGACCAATCCCGACTTCTTCCTGCTGGACGAAGGAGAGGTTGGGAAGGAAGACGACGAATGTGGGTTTTTCTCGTACGCCAAGCCCGAATGTCTCGATACCATCCTCAGCATCGTTGGCGGCATCCTTGCTGTGGCGGCCAGTGTGGCCGGCTTTGGGTGGGCCTTCGTAAGAAAATGCCTCTGTAAGCGCAAGGAAGAAACAGGGAAAGACCAGCCGAAGGCCACGACCGATGCACGAAAGCGCTCGAAGTCTGACACCCGCGAATCACGAGCGAAGAGCATCTTGGAGACAAAATCTGAGCGACAAGTGGACAGAGACGTGACGGACAAGGCCCGGCTGGATTCTATGGGGATCGACAAACGAGTCCATAAACATGACTCGGAACCTGAAGAGGAGACTGCACCCCGGGCCCATGAATATGAGATGGAGGCTGAAGAGGAGACCGCGCCCCGGGCTCATGAGGATCAGACTGCTCCTCCTGGGTGTGTGAATGTGTGATTTCGGTGCATGGAAGCTTAAGATGTGCTGTCGGTTGTTTCTTTGTGAGTCTGACGACATACTATTTTTCGTGTCTCAGTAAATCGCTCACTCTCCAAGTGACAGTAGTTAGGGCAAGGCAAGGACTGTGCGAAAGGTTGGATGGTGAGCTCAAAAAAGTATCATCGGCCGGATAAGGCAGCAACCGCTGCAAAGAGCCATCAGCCGCTGCAGACAGACAGACATCTCGCCACACAACAACAAGTTCTCATCTTTCCGTGCGAACATGTCTGATGAGAACACACTCTCATTGAAACAGACTCGAGAATGGATGAGTGAGTGAGTGAACGAATGAATGAATGAATGAATGATTGATTGGTCAAAGTGCACTGACCGCACAGACAATGCAGTCAATCAATGGAGTGATATCGATGTGGATGGCTTCAATGCATGAATGATGTGATTGACTGGGATGAATTCAGTAGATGCTGCATCAAGTCGTGGGTCCGTCACCAACCACGCGCAACACATCCATCCATCATAGCCATGCATGACTTCACGCATGGGAAAACTCACTTAATGCGATCCGCTCCCCCTGATGTGTATATATATCGTGGAAGCAGGCAGCGTGCATTACACGCTGCGCCGCGTGGCCCTTACTTAATTGCCCGGCCCGACTGACCACTCCCTCCTGCTCCCTCCCCGAATCGATCCCGTAGTCAGTCCAGTGTATTCATGTATGTATGTGTGGATGCTATCTACCCAGGTTGGTTGAAAGGTCCCGCCCCTCCCAGGTGAGTAGACAGAGCCAGTTGCGATTTCTCCCACAGCTTGCTCCATTCATCTGAGTTCCTCGTGAGCGAGCTATCACATGCGGCACAAGAAAGAAGCTCCCGTCTCTCTCTATCGATCGCATTAAAGTGACTGGCCTTCGGCCGATATCATGCACACACACATACAGACATGTACACGCATACATAACTACTTGGCTCGTAGAAAACAGGCCGATTCGTTTGTTTAGGGCCTCCAGGCAAAGTCTTGGAGCGCGACGTCGAGCTCCGCCTCGCTCAGCTCATTGCCACTCCACCGATCCAAGAAGGAAAAGAACTGCGAAAAGTAGGCCTACAGACAGACAGAGATAATGGTACGTAAGAAGCGCATGATCGATAAGGGCCATCCATCCATCCATTAACTGTCTGTCTGTCTGTCTGTCTGTCTGCAGCTCGCATATGTACCTTTCCCGTGTGGTGGTGTATTTCGTGTCTGATGGGCCCGCCCATGAGGCCCGATGGCAGCAGACGGTGGATGGACCACGGGAAGTCATACTGTGAGTGCGCTTCGGTCAGCAAATAGGTGATAACCACGTTGTGCAATAACCTGGTCAACCGACAGACAAACGGACACAAACGGACGCATTGATGCACAGCCACAACGGCTTTCGGGTGTAAGCAGGTGGGTGGCCAGTGCCCCGACCTGGCGAGGCTGTGGGAGCGGCAGATGTTGACCGCTGCTGCAGAGCAGAGGACCTGGGAGAGGCCATCGATGACGGACACCCGCACCACATCGCTGCCGGCGAGGGGCTTCATGGAGTGATGCTTGGCGTGTAGGGAAGCCACGGCCGGCCACCTGTGGTACTGCAGCCAGGCAGCCACAGATATACACATCGCACATTTCATTCGGAAGGTATGTTTGTTTCGTGCGGTGGAGAGTGTCCCAGATGCATCGACCGACCGACCGACCAGCGTGTGGATGCCGTAGAAGAGACAGTCTGTGCGAGTGAGTGAAGGTGGAAAGGAACACAAGTTGGAAAAGATGCGTCCACGTGCAGAGCAACGTACCGTAGACCAGCACTGACAGCGCAACTTGGCCCACCAGCTGACCGAGCGTCGGCGTCCACGCAGGCAACACGCTGACATACACAAACAGCGGGAGAGCTCATTCGCAAAATACTCCCGATGGAATAAATGCCCCTTATTCATTCGTTCATTTTTCCCTCACTCACCGTCTTGGGTGGAAGTAATCGAACACCAGCATGGGGACGAGAAAGGCAAAGTAGGAGAAGGTGCCGTGGCCCACTTCGCCATTCACCCACAGCCGCTCCACCCTCGAAGGCACTGCAAGAGAGGAGCAGACACAAACGAGAGAGAAACGGCTCAGCAGCATCGTGTCGGGGAGCTTCAAGCCGCCTATCCGGATACCTGTCTGGATAATGCGAAACCTCTGCAGGAATGGGCAGAAGGCGTCGAAGAAGCGAAACATGTTGACCCAGACGATGAACGCGTACGCTGCCACGATGGGCTCACAGGTATCGAATCGAACAAACCACGTCAACCTCATCCCCTGCCACAGCCGATCTGCACACGCACAGGTGACAGATCAACACGCGTGCAGACGTATGTACTGGCCAAGGATGCATATGGACAGATAAGAACGTGGCACTCACCTATCCGCTCGTCTATCGGTGAACGGTAGAGCCAGTACGCGAGACCCAGCAGCACCACCACGACGCGAAAGAGCTGAGTCCATCGGTAGTATGGATAAGGCCGCAGAGTCGACACCTTGGCTGTCTTGGTGAGGGGCTGCGGTTGCGATGTGGCGTCTGATGCATGATACTCCATCGCGTAGCTGCAGCAGTAAGCCCTGCAGTGGAGATCTTCGAGAGAACCAACGGGGACGAGCGATAACAGCACACTCCTTCCGTCGCTTCTAAGCTCGCAGATCTCTCGTGTCCTCGAAATCCAAAACGTCGCCATGGCTCCTGTACATGAGCGGTGTGGCTCATGGGTGTTGGTGGATGGCCCATTAAGCAGTGCCACCACTTTTCAACTACCGAGGGTATGGAGGTCAGTCAAGCTGCCGCTGTTGGGCAGATACTCACAGCACGACACAATAAAGGCCGCCACTGACACCATGTGCTTGTTCATCAGGCAACTTGACGATGGAATCTGACGATGCAGTGGCTTTCAGCCCTCGCACATCTGGGGCTCATGTGACAAAACCCGGCGGATCTGCGGCCTCTGTGTGCGGCCCAACACACATCGCCGTCGCCAAGACACTCAGCAGACAGGTGCGCTCCGTGCGGCCATGCATGCGGGCAACGCATCACGTCAGAAGCGTGCCGTGTGTGTGCTCCATGACAGCCCATCAGCGGTCGGTCCTGCGCGTGGCCAACGTCTGCTGTTTAAGCACTCTTTAGATGAAGGCGCGTGTACTCATGTGGTTTGGTGTGCAGGCGTAGGTAGGTCTCGCCGTGGCCTTTTGTGGGGGAGGGGAGGACATGGGTGGCCCGGGACTCGTGCAGCACCTTGCCGTGGAGGCTGCCGACATTCTCAAGTATGTAATGCACATTCAAAGCACATACACATCCGCGCACACGCACCCGTCTTGTTCTGCCTCAGGTACGGCTCTCTGGATGACCTTCCGCCGCTCATCAACCTTGCGCGCTTCTGCCGCCGTCTGGTGTGGTACAAGCTGGTGCTGTCCGTCTGCATCAAGGTGATCGTGCTGCTGGCAGCCCTTGCCCTGTCCGGCATCAGCACAGCCACCTCATACCACCTGTGTTGCTCATCCTTGTTCTCGATGGTATGAGGGCTCTGTTGTTCGAGCGGCGGCAGGGGGTTTGTAGGGTTTGGAGTGCACAGAGTTTGTGCACGTTTGTGCATGGGTGGCAGTGCGAAACACGCTCTGCTACGCAATTTTTTTCCCATCTCATTCCGGCTTGCCCGCGGCGTGCGCGGCTGTCTTAGTTGGTTCTGCCGGTAGGTGTGTGAAGTCGTGTGTATGTGTCATGTATGGTTCTGGCTTATGTTTCTGGGTCTGTGTGATGGCCTGCATGACTCTGATTCTGCAATCACACATAAAATTAAAATAGGTTGGAGACACATATTCGACAGGTGACACACAGCACAAAGGACTGGCTTTTGCCGGCACAGGTGACACATAGAGTGACCATCGATCGATTAGCAATATAGTGACAGGTTTTTGCAGCAGACTTGACACATGAGAAATGCAAAAACCTGTCTGATGACCGACATGCATTAAAAAAATCGTCTGATGACCGACTGCATAAATAAGACAGAAAAGAAAGATCCAATATTCGGACTTTGCAAAAGCAAAGCTCAGACGCGATTGACAGCAGCGACCTCATCGCCTGATTGCTTTTCCTCCTGATTGCTACCCGACACTCGCCGCTCGGATTTGCTCTGGAGGTAGCTTTTTTTGCGGCTGTCTCGAGTGTCGGATATGGATCGCTTTCGGTGATCCATCCCCTCTTCGTTCTCGGTCGGCTTCTCTTCTGTCGGCTTCTGGCCGCGCTTCAAGAAGTTGTGTGCGAATTGCCACACGCCAACCCCTAGGCCGGCAACACCGACGATTCCAAGCACGATGGACAGAATGGTGTCAACGCACTCGGGCCGGCTGTAGGCGAACCAGCCGCACTCGTCGTCGCCTTTGTCTCTTGCCTCGTCCGCTCCCTCGCTGAGGAGAAAGTATCTGGGATCGAAGACCTCTTCTTGAATGAGGTTCGCTATCGTCACCCTGTGCATGTCATCGATGTCGATGATCACGCTGCCGCTCGTCATCCGCTGCTCGAGGGCCTCCATACTTGTGATGGAAGGAAAGATGCGGAGGTTCAGCTGGTCGTGGGATGCGCCGGTCTCGAAGTCAAGGATCGTTACGTCGCACGGCTCATCCGTGATGACGAATGTGTCAGATCCTCGGCCACCAATCAGTTGGTCACGCCCTCCGCGCCCAGCCAGGCTGTCGTCGCCGTCTCCTCCGATCAGAGTGTTGTCTTTCGAGTTGCCTCTGAGCGTATCGTCATTGGTCGAGCCCTCGAGGACGGTGACAAAAGTGGTCTCGGATAGACTGATGGTCTTCATGTGCTGTGAGTCCTTGCATGCGTAATACGGAAGCCTGCATGCATGAGAAACACACTCCGAATTCATATGCGAGACTTACACACAGAAAGAAAATTCATGCCCATGAACTCCTGCAACCCATGCTGACCACCGGTGCCAAGTCTCGTACTGCAGCCTTCCGCCGGATCGCCCTCGGCTCCTCCAGACGAAATGTCTGCCTCTTGCGAGGGAGGAAACATGTTATCCAAAGCGTCTTCGCAGACGCAAGGAGGAGGATCAGGGCAATTAGGGCAATAACAGTCACCAGGGCCGCCATTACCAGGGCCACCATTACCAGGGTCACCGTTACCAGAGTCACCACTACCAGGGCCACCATTCCCGCCGTCTGGTGGCCCATCACCTCCACCGGAGTCTGAGGACACATACAAAAACAGTCTGATGCCAGCCGATAGCAAGACGAACCCGGCGGTCCGGCGCCTTGCGTTGGCGGTATTGTTGTTGGCGGCGTCTCTAGAAATGAAGCACAGACATACATAGAGAAGAAAAGGAGGTAGTGTTTCTCTGAAAGGAGGTAGTGTTTCTCTGTTCACCGTAAATGACTGTTAAGATGTTTGAAGCCATATTCGGATTGCCTACAAGGTCCTCAGTCATGGCTTCCGGAAGCTGCACGTTTATCCCGCCGTCTGCATCTGGCGCTACACCAATACTGAAAGTGTCGCCAGAAGCCCCCAGCTCGCTGACGCTGACAACAGAAGCGTTTGTAGTGGCAAAGTCACTCAAAATCAGTGTCGAAGCCCGTATTGGCTCATCGAATGTCACTGTCACACTAAAGGGGGACTCGCTCTTCACAATGCCATCAGGAGAAGCTGTCGTTGCGGCCAAGACGGGTGTCGGTCTGAATGCATCTGAAAGGTCACAACAGTACGTATTCAGTGTATTGCCTGTCCACGTACTCACCGATGGTGACGGTCAAAACGTTGGAATCTTGGTTGAAGTAGCCCGCCGCATTGTGCATCTCCACTTTGCCAGCGGTCAGCTGAATGCTCAGAGTGCCACCGCTTGTAGGCTGCACATTGGCTGTGAAGCGCTGGTTGGAGACGGTTTGCAGAGAAGTAATGGATGCCTCAGCAGCACCAGAAAGGATGATGTCGGCGGCCTCAAAGGATCCGGACTTGGCTGGCTCGGAGAGCGCGATGCTCACTGCGAAAGGCAATATGCGAATGCTGAGGGTTTCAGTACTGAGGGTGGGGATCATCGGCCGAGCTGCAAAAATCACGCAACAATGCGTACGAGTAAGAAAACATTCTGTCTCTGCCTTCTTGTCTCCACCAACCTGTACAGACAGAAGGCCCTTCTCCTTCGTAACCATATGTTTTCTGATTGTTACACTCCCATCCCTCTTCAATCGTGCATGACGCACTGCAGCCATCGCCGCTTGCTGGTGTCGCAGTGCTGGTAGGTGTCCCGACATCATCACACTCCTCAATGCCGGGCATCACCAGCCCATTGCCACATACGTCGGCGCATCGTTGCGTGTTGTCTCTAACTGTTATGCCCTCATGATACTCGTTTGGGTTCTCGAACTTGTACAAGACATCACTGCTGCCACCCGTTCTCTTGATGAAACCATTGCCGGTGATTGTAACGGTCTCGGTAGGAAGGCGGTCTTCTTTTCGATCGGTCGCATGAATTGTTATGGTCATCTCGTTTTCGATGAAACAATTGCCAACGACCTCGGCGTGGCGGTAGGTATCAAAAGCGAGGACATGTCGCTCGCTTGCTTCATCGGCATCATCGGCGTCTTGAGGTCGATTCTGACGAAACGTCGACCTTCTGATGATAATATCCGTCCCTTCTTCGAATGGTGTGTTGCTGGATTGCAAGAGTTCGCCGACACCAGGCTGATTTCCATGGAATAGGCATTCCGAAATTGTGATGGCTGGGCCGTGGGCATGTAGTATCCCCGTATAGCTGCCCCTCAAAGAGCTCGGCTTGTTGTTGATAAAGCTGCTTGCTTCAATGGTTGTGCCGCCATTTAGATAAAAGATAAAGGCAGGCGCCTGGTTGTTACGGAAAAGGGACTGGGTGACTGTCAAGGCTGGCGTAAAAAAGATGCCATTCGCCTGGGACTCATCAACGGCCACATTGTTTTCGAAGGTACTCGCGTGGATCAAGAGATGCGAACAGTAATATGTCTTCACGTTATAATAAGGGGTATAACCCGACCAATACTCATTGTAGTGTAGAAGATTGCCGGAAACGAGGCTGTATCGGAGGCTTACGCTCATGCCATTGTTATAGTCTGGGCCTTGCATTCCAAAGTAGTCCCGGTGTTGCCGTGAATGGCGGACTCCGTAAAGAAAACCAAGCCATCGTATTGTTTATCCCGCTCGCCCTGTCCAATAGTCACGGCGGCATGGTATTTTGTCCGAAAGGCAACGATCGTGTACTCTTGAACGGATACTCGGTAGAAGGCAACGCTCATCGGGGCCCGGTCCTGAGAATGATGAACACGAACGCATGTTGCTGCTTGGTCGCTACTCTGCAAGGGGTCAGATCCGGTATTGGTGAAGCGCAGACCGGCGAGAGTGAGCCCCGTGGCAGAATCCACATTCAGCACCTCTATATCTCGCTTGGCGGGCTTGAGCACTGGAAAAGTGCTGGCATCGTCCAGGTTTTGAGGGAAGACGTAGACGTTGGAGCCGCTGAATGTGAGAGGGCTAAGTACAGTGATTTCGCTAATACTCCCATCGATGCGGATGCAGCGAATGGTAGTCTCCGTCTCGGGCTGTTCCGCTTCCAGCATGCCAAGCGCCTCTCTGAGAGAGCCAGATCCTGAGTCAGCCGAGCTAGACACTGTCGTTGCGGACGAGCATGTCGGTGCGACGAAGGCTGACGTGCCGAACAGCGCCCTGAAGCCCGCCTCATTTGTCGCTGAGATAAAGCAGGTGAGAGCACACGTGAGCACACAGTCACACAAACGCTGTGAAAAAAGAATTGCCATTGTCTCGGCCGCCACTTACATTGCCCAGAGGCTCTGCCGAGCAGAGCCAGCAGAAGGACAGCTATCATCTTTCGGGACTCGCGAGTTTCACGAGCGTGGCACGCTCTTACGAAACAAAGTGTTCGTTTCCGTAATTGGGGCCAAACTAGCACTTCCTTCGGTTTCCTTGCGGGGGCTTGCATGCGAGCTTGGGGGCTTTGCATGCATTTCGGGGAACGGCGAAAGCGTAGCGAGTCCCGCCAGCCCGACGGAGGAGGAAAATTTCATCACGATGGCGGTTGAGTAGACTGTCGACTGGGGGCAGGCCCCCACGTGAGACCACCACTCAATGGGCCTCCCCGATACTTGCTCTTGCTTGCAGAATTGTATACCTAGGCAGCATCTACCTGCCTTCCACCGAAGGCGGAATTCAAGAGGGAGTTTGATTTACACACGAGAAGCAATCCTCCATCTCCCCTCCCTCTGAGTTGCGCCGGCGCGAGACCTGCTCTCTCTCTCTGATTGCTCGAATCACTCCCGCGGCCTCCCGCGAAGACAGCTCTCCGCCCGAAGACAGCGACGGGCTACAATCCCAAAGTAATCCTCGTCCATCAGGCCATCGAAACAGCTGCCCCTCCGTCTCCTTTGATCGCTCCGAGTTGGTTGATTCCCTCCCTCCTGCCAGCTGTTTGCCCGGCCCTTTGTGTCCATCCCATTGGTTCGCTCACTCACCCATTCCCCGGACTCCCTGTGTCGCACGTGTCTCTGCTGGTCCTCTGCCTCGGCGTGGTGATTAATTTTTGTCCTCTTCCCACGTCAGCAGAAGTGCCTTGTGGGGAGTTGTGGTGGTCCGGAGTGGCGACACTTGCTTCGACATCTACTTGACTGTCACAGGCAGTCACAGGCATTGGGACCCAAAGAATTTCCCCGGCTCAATCCATCCATCGACTGCGATGCCCTGCCGATCGGCTCCAGAGTGTGCGTGCGGGCCGCATCAGCTGGCCCAGCAGGTGCGTCTGTCAGACAGGAACGTAGACAGCATGTATGAGGGGGGAAGAAAGTCTTCACCTGTGTGTGTGTGTCTGCCTGCCTGTCTGTCTGTCTGCCTGTCTGCGTTTGTGTCTGCAGATGTTGGGGAGGAAGAGGACGACGACGAATGTGGGTGGTTCACGTACGCCAAGCCAGAATGTTTTGATACCATCCTCAGCATCGTGATCGGCATTTTTACTGTGATCGGCATGATAGTGGGCGCATGGCAGTGGTAACTTGCAGCGATCCCGCCGCCAGTTTACAAGCGCCGCATCGCCAGAGGCCACGACGTACGGACCATGCCTGACCATGTGTTTGCTGTACCTCGTACAAGACTCTGATAATGAATGACACAACACTCATACAAAGGAAGTCTGTCCGACTTCAAAGGAAGTCTGTCCGACTTCCTTCTCCCCTTCTTCCTTATCATGGGACCAGGCAATGCATATGTAGTGTCGCACAGTCAGCTGCAGCTGCTGTGAAGGGGTCGACTGCAACGACACCGTGACGTGTTGGGGCAGTGCTGGTCGACTCCCTGTCTTCCTATGTATACGTCGCTGTCTGTCTGTCTGTCTGTCTGCGTGTCTGTGTGTTCAGATAACAGCGCCGGCCACTCCGAGTCGACCAGTGCAGAGCACACGACGGCCTCCGAGGAGTCCCCCTCCTCTCTTCGTGTCCGTCAGCTGCTGGGCCCCCTCTGTATGTTCCCGCGGACACAGATGCTGCACCATCTAACGTAAGCCATCAATCAACCAACCGACACACCGACAGACAGACAGACAGACAGACAGGCACGCACGTAAAAGTCCGGGCATTGCAATGCGCGTGACTGTTTGCGATCCAATCCTCGCGCACACAAATAGACAAACCACACACTGCACGAGTATATATAGAGACAACGCAAGGAATGGACAGAGAGACACTATTTGACTGCCCCGGCTCTTTGGATGACCTTCCTGGGTGGGACGAAGGTTGCGGCTTGCATGTGTGACTGTCTGAGTGACTGTCTGTGCGTGTGTGAATGAGCGTGGTGTGCATGTGTTGGTTGGCCATGGATGATGTGAATGGACGGCTTTCAGAGACCCTCCGTGGCCAGTTGACGTTTCAATGCCTGTCTGTGTGTGCGTGTGAGTGGGTGCATTGATCAGCGTGCTGTCACGTCCGCCGGAAAGATGTATTTCTGCCTCAGCGAGCTGTCTTTTGTACAGAAAGATGGCTTTTTGATGGAGCATATGGCTTTTTGCAATGGAAAGATGTCTTTTTGAGTGGCGAGATGTCTGTCTGATCGGCTGCCTTCTCCGGCCGATCCACCTTTTCGCACAGACCTTGCCTTGTCGTGATCATGAATTACACGAATCCACTGTACACGACCGAGACCAGCGCTGACTAGTCGACTAATCTATCGACCAACAATACACCCAGCCACCCACCAATCTACCTACGCCGCATGGTATGCACCAACATGAAAACACAGAATAATCCATTGCATTGCCATGCTAGCTGGGGCGATGGGCTGACTGTCGTAAAGGCATTCTGTCAGACGCGACATAAACTACGAAACGCACATACACATACACATACACATGCATTATGTGTACGTATGGCATATGGATTCGTGAGCTTGATCATCGACACCATGCACAAAAGACACGAACACATGAAGGCCACCCACCACACGTCACACAGTAGTCACTCCACGTAATCCACCGCCAGACAGGTACAAATCCTGCCTTGAACGCGAAGATAAAGCACCGATGAAATCAATAAAACCTGCAATCATCCCACTCCCTCTTCCCCCCCCCCCCC